AAGAGGACAGAGCTGGCACGTTTACACCTCATGAAAAGATTTCCAGACTGTCCTCTTTATCTGGAGTGAACCAGGAACCAATTATTGTACAAACTTTTATCATTTCTGATCCCAGAGTCAAACTTCTGACCATGTTGATGCAGTTAGCACCTTTAAAGATGTTTACCTGAGATGACATGAAAGCAGAGCTCTGGCACAGGTTTCCGCGGTTAGTTTGGAGTTTGTAATCATCTAATCATCACCAAGGTTATTAAACAAACAGCTTATGAGTCCTCTTTAATAACAGGACTCATTTCCACTGAATCTGCTGCTCGGTAACTCCAGCGTGTGTTTGGTGCCTGGAGGAGATACCTGCTGTAACTTGTGTACAAACTCTGCGCCGTGGAGACAATAACTCCACATATTAGGAGCCTCAGTGGACCTTTGGGGGGGAGCTGTGACTTAACCTTTCAGTGTCTTATGAGGGCTGCATTAAATCACATGGGCTGCGTTATCGACACGCAGGAGAGGTATGCATTCGTCTCGTAAAACACACGGACAGACGACACAGCTGCTCTGTTTTCCAAAACATCAGCTGGAAAAGAAAGACCGCATTACTGTCAACACCTGCAGCGTGGGTCACTAGTTTTGTCTCTCCTCGTTTTAATATGATTGGATGATTTTTTAACGCAGTTGTTGATGGAACACTTACAGATGGAGACAGCATACATTGTTCTGTAGTGGATTAAACATCTGTAAATGGAGTCACTGCCATCTCTGATGAATCACCCACATATGGACACAGACACGACTTAACTTTCCAGGGAACCATGAATAACCTGATCCCTGAAATATAAGTGACTAGTGCAGCTGATGCACAGAAAAAGAAAATCTGCAATACATCATGGTTTTACGGAGATTATATCTGCATTTGTGATTTACAGATGATACAAAAAGGTTCTGCACCTTCAACTCTGATATTTTAACGCACTGTTTCCAGAAGACGTGGTCTCATTGTTGTAGGGTTTTATGTTGTAGGGTTCTTGTATTGCCTGGGTGTCTTATGAAAAATGAAACAAGGCCTACAATTCAGAGGCCTTGTTTTTAACTGAGCTTTTGTTTTTATTTGTTTTTATTTTCATGTGCTGAAGTTCTGTGCTTGCAACTGTTTTCAAAGTACTTTGTAAACTTCAGTTTTTAAAGGTGCTATATAAATAAAGTTATTATTATTATTATTATTATTATTATTATTATTATTATTATTATTATTATTATTATTTCCATCTTCAGGTATGCAAAAATAGTTTTTTGCAGCTGAGAAAGAGGAAGAAAGAGTTTTCTTTCTGCCCCCCAGATTTAAGAGTGAGTTTATGACAAATAAGATGAACTTCAGGGAAAACTGTAAACTAATCTGATGACCCAAAAGCTCCTGTTGCTTCTTTCAAAGGCATACCAAAGATGAGGGTAAATCAGCAGGTGACATCATCATCATCATCAATCACCCTGACCAGGTTTTTCACATTAACACGGACCGTAACACACTCACATCACATACAATAAGCTATAGAGCATGTGTTGACTTTCATGTCTGAGACTAAGTGGAGCAGAGTGGAGAGCAGCCCATAAAAACAGCAATAAATTATCATCATAACTGGATCCATATATTAAATATTAAAAATCTGAAAGGAAAACATGAAAAAAAAGCTTTTGTGACATGTAAGGCAGAAGTCATTAAATGTGAGGGTTCGTTTTGATGTGCTCTGTGATTAAACTGAAGACTGGCAGTCTGGGAAAATAAGGGGTCAGAGGAAGGCGAAGCGATGCAAAACACTTTAATGATTTTGGTCTAATGGGGGAAAACGAAGGTTTTAAAGCTTATAGTGGTTTCAAGAAGAGATGATTGTGTAAAAGAGAGCAGGAGTACAGAGCTGCACGTTCATATCCCGACTTATAAAAACAAACATCAACTATTAAAACTCTTTAATGACACCAGGGTGTAACAATAATGCTCATAAACTGAAAGGAAAACAGCAGCTCAGTCAAGTAAAAGTACAGAAATGTTGGAGCATCAGTGAAAAAATTCAGCTCTTGGCATTTCACTCTGCGTCGTATTTTCTATAAGCAGGCACGTGCTCATCATTGAAACGTTGGCTCTGTTTTCAGCCCAGATTTATCACGGCGTTATCGTCTCTGTCAGTGAGGATTAAAACAGTCAAATCTGCTGATTCTGAGGATCGGCTGCTTGGCAGGCTGTGTTTGGATTAATGAAATCTTAATGTGGCTTCTCTGTGCGGGCCAGAAAACAAACACAACAACAGAGCATTAACAAAGAGAAACACTGCGGATAGAGCAGTCAGTGTGAGTTTTAGCAGAACACACAGAGCCATAATTAACCGCCGATTGTGTAGAACTGATAAAAACTCAACAACAGAGCTAAGGATTGATATTTTTACGAGAAGAGAAACAGCCCTGCAGAACAAAGACCATTAATTCAGAGCAAATGTATCTCCAGACTGCTCCAGTTTCCAAGTATTCACGGGGAACAGTTGATTTAAAACGTCCTCATTGAGCTTCAGCTGGCAAAATACTCCACAATGTGGAAAAAATGCACTGGACCAATGTGCTTTCATGCTCATATACGTTAAAAAAGCAGAAGGTTTCAGTAAAATATGATACAGATGTTACCCACTGACTGTAAAATCTGCATACACAGAGGAAAATGTTCAGAGGTCAAAGGTGATGGACTAAAATCATCACATTTTTGATCAAATTGGGACAACACGCACCACGTTTTCCAACTCAACAGATGACTGTGCTTTGTTTGCAGAAAGTCAATATGAGATGAAGCTGTGGAGCATCAGATCCATATGTGCTCAGAGTGTGTCCTGTCTGCTCCCTGAGCTCGGCTGTTTGTGCAGGACGTCTTCTGGAAAGCTGTCAGGCTGCTGAGGGGACTGATGTTTATCACATGTCTGTCTCACAGTGACGCTCTGGACTCAGCCTGGACCTGACAGCAGTCAGAACGATGAAACTGTGTCATGACAGACCGTGACAGAGTGACTTCTGAGTTAATTAGGCTTGTGGATTTGTTCTGGCAGCTTTAATAACCACAGCGTTTCTGTTTCATTCTCAAATGTGGAAAAAAAAAGGCAATTTACTGCTCATTAGTGGTATATTACTGAGCTGTAGTCCTAATCCCTTCCATCCTTGTACAAAAGGACTAAATTATGAGGGTTATAAAAAGTTTTGATGAACTTGAACCCACAGTCGTATAAATACCACTTCATCTTTCTCCTTTTCTGTTTCTCCTCCAGTCGTAACATTTAAGATTGGATTTAGCGCCATCTGCAGATTATAGTCCACATCAATCCCATCATTTAACACATCTGTATGCAACATATTCATACCTGTATTCGGTTTATTAGGGGACATTAGCTTTGGAGTTTGGTCTGATTTTTCCCTCCTATGTTCCAACCCTATATAAACTGTAATAAATAAATGCAATGTTGACATAATTACATCTAATCTAAGCCCTTGTATATCAATAAATCGACACTCTACCGTTATGATTAAAACTAAAAAGATACTATAATATCTACTATAGATATTACTATAAAGATACTTTAAGATACTATAATAGATTATACTGTGTATAATCAAAAATGTACATAAAATAACTGAAACTGTTGCTGCTAATATATTAACAAAGGCTGATATTTTAAACGTTTAAATGATTTATGAAAATAATATGAATTTATATTTCCATTTCCATGGAGAGTGATAAGTCAACCTTAGTATTTTTCAATCTTTTGATTGAGATTTTTATTGCTACGACTCGTTATTATTCATTATGATTAGTTTACTTCAACTATGTAAGAGTTTACCAGACCTTTAAATCGATCAATAATTTCTTATTATGTGAAGATACATTCTTAAAATATCTATTAGTTGCGTTTTTGTTAACCGATTTATTGTCACCATTTTATTAGCAGTAAAAAGGGAGTTGTCGTTACAGTCACAGTTAATCACGAGTTCAGTTTCGAGATCGTTATAAATTATTTTCCAATTTGCTCATATTAATTTGAAAGTATCTACCGGAAACTGTAGGACGTTATAACATATGTATTAATGGAAACTTGACTATTTAAACTCTCTTGCAGTTCCATATTTTGGCCACCGGAGGGCAGCCTTTTACATGGCCGGAGTGTATCACTTGTTTGAAAAGTCCGAGTTGGACGTTGACTGCCCTCCGGCGGCAACAAACTGCGAAATAAAGAACAAGAAGCTAGCGCTTACGTTGCGAAGGTCGACTACTGCTATTTCCTATCAAGACTACGGAAATAAAAGCAGTTAAAATACAACTTTTCGTACAATTTAAAGCCGTCATTCCCCCCAGCAATGCGGAGTGGTGAAGGAGGGAACTAAGACCAAAACCGGGTGAAACTCAAAACATTTTAAGGCCAGGGATTTTTAAAGTTATATTCATCATCTTCTACCAACAGTTTATGACATTACTACTGAACATAGACGCGAATGGACCGTAACGGTTATGAAAGAAAACAGTAAACGTTAGTGTGCTTGTTTGCTGTAACTGAAGTGAGAGAAAGGTGATGGCTAGGAGTCTGCTGCAGTTTCCCCTTTCAACCACAAGATGGCGGAAATTCAATTAAATAGACTTTTATTTTTGTTTGTTTGTTTTTTGTAAACGTTTAGTTATTCGTCAAAACACAAATACTAAGGCACGTTGGTGACATTTTTTCAACAACACTGAAATCTCTCAGAACATATTTTCTTTTTAGTCGATAAGGGAAGTATTATGCAGTCAAAATGTTTCTAATTAATTTAATAGAGAATAGTTTGCTACCTAAATTGTCTCCTTCCACACTTAGTGAAATTCAATAAACACAGGAAGACAAGCTCGCGTCAACGGAGTGAATAAAGTGCACGACCACTTCCTGTTGATGCTTTCAAAATAAAAGACAAATCGGACCTAACGGACACGCTTCGATTTTGTAATTTTCACTTTTGCTTTGAAAGGTAAGTGCTGTAGTGAAGAATCCGTGTATCCTCACTTTATAGTTTGGAGACGTGCAAGGTCCAGTCGGTACAACCTGAAATTAATCCATGTCGTCGTGAAGACCGTTGTTGAGTTCAGTTTTCAGGATCCACAGGAACAGTTAGCAGCAGGTTCGCTAACAGGCTGATTCGGCTGTTTTTTTCCGGAGTTTGTGGCTCTTTGGGGTAAGAATGGACACCGTTAGCTGAAGAAGGAGCTAATGCCTGTCAGCTAAAAACACTGTCGCTGTTTAAAGTGATTTAAACGCTTTTTAGGGCACCTACATGTTGGTTTTAATATGACTCCACCTCGTGATGGTTCATTGAGCCTCTGTGATCAGAGACGTTAGTCTGGACAACCTGTGTTCACTTTGACTTAGCTTGAGTTAGCAAACTGAAACAACTTCTTTTGCTTCAGATAAATCAAAGTTTACAAACCATAATGAGTAACATATCTATCTATTATCAGTCAAAGCTCCTCATTGTTGTCTTCAGTGAACAATGTCTGGTCACTGTGAGGTAAAAACAATGGCCGAAGTGAAGTACGCAGTGAAATTAAAGTCGATCAACCTGTAGCTTCAAAAGGGCTGGAGTAACTGGAGTAAAGGGAGAAGGGGCTGTCTAAAGTAGGGGAGAGTGGGGTAAGTTGAGCCACCCCAAGAAATTGATCATGTGACCAAATATTTAGGAGATGGACATCAATTCATGGAGTCTGTGAAGGTTAGAAGCACATGGGTGAAGGGGTTAGAGATTAATTTACAAAACAACATTTTCGCTCTTGAAAGTATATTTAGTCTGTCATAAGATCATTTTAAATTTATTTTGTACACCAAAAACCAAACATAAAAGTCCACCATTTTAGCTTAGAGGACTAATAAAGTCATAATAGTAGCTCTGGAGTAACTGAGAAAGTAAAGGAGTCTGATGAGAGGATCAAAGTTTCAGTTCAGATTGTTGAAGTGTTTGACTTTTTCTTTTCTCATGTTAAAATGTCTTTGTACAAAACAGCTTTTTAGCAGTTATATGCAATAATAATAATAAAAAAATCATTGTACTAGTTGAATAGTGTATAACAGATAAAAATACACATGAATGTGAAGAAGTGACTGTTATTTAAGGCAGTGTTTTTCACAGATGGTCAGGTGTACCCTGAGAAATTATCCAATTTCACTTTATTGTATTTTTTTATTCTTTTATTATCATTATTTGCAAATAATATGCAATTCTCAAGTGTCTGTGCTGTAATCTACAGCCCCAGGTTTGAGTATGAATAAACTAAGAGATTATACTGCCATTGCATAAACTGTATTTGGGGCTACTAAGTGTAATGTTAACATTACGGTTGGTGGTGTGCCTCGAAATTTTTTTCATAATAAAAATAAAAAAATGTACCATGGTTCAAAAAAGGTTGAAAAACGCTGATTTAGGGAGAGAGAAGATGAGGGAGGGCTGGGGTGGAGAGTGTGGGGGGTAGTAGGGATACGGCTCAACTTAACCCCCGTACACGGGGTAAATTGACCACAGGAGACCACTCCTCTTTTTTGGCATGCTATATTATCAAGACAGTTATGTTTACACTCATTCTGTTGGTTTGCAGGGATGAACAACATCTTCATGTCATGCTTCATGTTGTGTTGCTGTTTTCATGATGTGTCACCATTTTTGACTGTCAGGTGGTTATAATGTGTAATTTTTCCTTCAGAGGGGATGGAGAAAGCGAAACAAGATGCCTTTGACAACGCCAGACTTCAGGTGATCAAAGAGGGCTATGAGAGGGCCTTCGAGTGCATCAATGAAGGACTCACAGCAGATGAAGCTGGAGACAAAGTTCAGGCCCTGGAGCTCTACAAGAAGGGGAGGCAGCACCTGGTCAGGGCCATCAGTGTGCCCACACAGGGAGAGGAGTGTGTGGGCAGCTCCTGGGAGTCAGCCAGACAGATGAAGCAGAAGATGCAGGAGACGCTGGACAACATCACCACCCGTCTGGCCATACTAGAGACCAGCTCTGACCTTGAATCTGCACCCACACTTAACAGTGTTTCCCCCTCAGGTGCTTCAGCCCCTCCTGCTGAGGGTCTCTACCCAACACTGCCCGCAAAACAGAAACCAGAGAGACCAGCTCCACCAAATCTTCTTTCTGCTGACGGCTCAGCAGTAGGAGCCGTAGGAGGCAAACCTGCGAGCAAAAGTGAGGGTCTGCCTCTGTCTCCCAGCAGGCAGCCTGTGGCTCCAGCCGAGCAGCCTCCAGCTTACTCTCCTCAGGCGGCTGATGGCCACCTCTCTATCTCATACGGGACAGAAACAGGAGAGATGTCGCTGGTGGGAGAGGAGTTCTACAGTCGTACATCAAACTCAACACCGTCCCCCCAGAGTATGGGCGAGGAAGGAGAGGAGCTGGTGTACATCCCTCATGGGGTACAGATATTCTTTGTCACACCTGAGGGACAGGTGAGCGCTCCATCGTACCCGGGGTACCTGCGGCTGGTGAAGTTCACAAGTGAACTCTCTGACAGGACGCCAAACCGACCACCAGCATTTCTGCAGGTAAGAGTAATGTCTGATGTCTGATGTAACTCTGGAAAAGGATAGATAATCCACAATTGTGATGCCATGAAAGTGAAACGTCACCACTCTTTCTTTACCCTTTCACCTATTTTTGTAAGAGCGTCTTCGGCGAGTGAAGACATCTCTGACTGTGAGTCATCAGCAGGCGGAGATAGGCTTGTCAATAATCTCTAATGCTTGCCCTGTGGTCGGGATCATGTGAGAGTTGTTTAGTCACTGTCCTTAATCCTATTGGCTTACGGACATGTCGTCATGCTCCCGGGAAAATCAATATCATGTCTGGTCCAAAATTCAACAGAGATAATAAAACACGTAAAGCAGATATCAGTGTGTAAAACACGTACTTTCATAAACAAATACCATCCATGAACATTTTTATTTATTTATTTAATTCTCTAATGATGTTGAGATAAAACAGAAATACATTTAGAACAAATTAACAAACGAGACAATGAGGTAAAATCAATGAAAAAATGACTCTTCTTTTAAATATGGTACTTAAAATAAAAAGAGAAGTTTACCTTTTGTATGCACCAAGTACAACATTTATGAGATTTAATATGTCGCCTCTTGTTGTTGTAAAATATTCACTTCAGATCAGATTGTTTATGTCTGAAAATATGTGGGATTACAGCTAAGAGCCACAAACGTATTCAGCAATTCTGATGCCTTAAAACCTCACAAATGAGCACTCACAATGCGTCACAATATCAAACTAAAAAGGAGTTATAAAGCTGTCCTGGATTTTTGTATTCATATCAGTCAAACACAACAGTTTCCTGAGATGCTCAAATGTTCTCATTGATCCATTAAAAAACAGGGTAAAATTCTGCACAGTCCTACTTTGTCCACAGTAGTAGGCCTTTGAACATCTAGACTACTTTGTAAATATACAGGAGGCCACCTGCAAACACTACAGTGAGAGATAAGAAAGAAGCTGTATTATCCTGTTAGCTTGAATTTTTGTGGAAAGGCTTAATCAATACTTTATCTTGTTTTTATACGTCGTCACGTCTTCAGATGTTTCATGTTTTGCCTCCATGATCATGAGACCGAAGTCTGACTCTTCATGGGGAATTTCCCAGGTGCTATTGCCAGTGGGTGACATCAGAGATTCACGAGTGCTCGTAATTATCTAAACCCTGCTTACACCGTTATGGCCTCTAATCCTGTTAGCCATGCTGCAGTCAGAGGGAGACAGTGTCCTCTGGTTTGTCTCCTCTCAGACTACGACACACTGACTGTGGCACCAAACAGACAATATTAGACGACTAAGGCTGGTCTAGTTTGGAAACAAAGGCCTTCAGACAGATGTTACACCTCATGTGTAGATCCAATCAGTAAACGCCGCCCTACAGAAATAAAGCTTTTAGACACAACATATCATCCTGATATCATGAAAATCTCTCTCATGTGTTTTACCTCCTTTATTGCTTCTGCAGGTGTGTGACTGGATCTACCCTCTCATGGCCATGGACTCTCCCGTGTTGCTGTGTAACACCGGTGTGTTTATGTTCCCTGACATGATGGCTCCAGCTCCAGGATATTACGTTGGGGTGGTTCTATCCTCAGAGCTGCCCGCCGCAGACAGAGAGCTGTTTCATGACCTGCTGTCCCAAATGACCGACCTCAGGGTTCAGGTCAGTGTTGATGAGAAGTCAGATCTGCTACGGCACGAAATGTGTTTGAACAAATGTAAACGTTGGTTATATTCCACACTTTGTTACCCTTACAGGTCATCTGCAGCTTCACACCATTTATCATTATTGTTTTCTGATCAAATGCTCCTTTTCAAAGTCTGTTTTTCTGTGATGCAAGTTGAGACACAAGTCGCTGAAATCGTTATATAACGACTTTTGCAAATCCTGCTGTGCCAGTTGGGAGCACTGGGGGCTATTTTTGGAAATGAAACAGTGAAGTTGCAGCATTCTGCCTGTAATACAGACATGTGAAAGTGGAGACATCTATTTTCAATGATGTGTCAGAGCTTTATCAATCATTTAAGTCTGTAAGATGCAGTCTGATATTTATTTATCTTTTTAATTTATTTTAACTTATTTTTTTAAACACAACACAAGAAAGTAAAGTGAAAAAAAATAAAAATAAATAAGAATATTCAAAACAACAATAACAGTAATCAAAGCAAAAATAAATAAATAAATAAAATAATAATAATAATAATAATAATAATAATAATGTGAACCCAACATGTCTGAATAGGGGTAGGATGAAGCATTACAAACTCAGACTCTCATTTCGTTTAGCAATGTGCAGTTTTTATGCAGATGTGTAGCTCTCTCTGATAGCTTAACATTCAGAGGTCCTATCACCTAATTGTACTTTTCCTGCCACACTAAGGTATATTTTTTGCTGTGTTCAGTCAAATTCAGGTGCATCACATCAGTAGACGTGTTTTTCCTGTGCCCCTCAAGAACATCATCACAAACATGATTTGCAGGAGGAGGAAAGACTTGATTAAATTGGTTTCTTACATGAAAAAGATTTTAGCTGCTGCTTACTCGGTGCTTCGAGGCTTCAAACTTTTTCATTGTTTTACCCTGGCACCAAACTCTCGTTGCTGCTTACTTCTGAGCTGGCACACTTCTCACACTTAGTCCTGCCTCAGCATTCCCCGGATTTGAGACAAGCAGGTGAGAAGAATTAATCAGTTATAATGCTCTTATCTGCAGCGGTTTAGCACAACCTCAGAGCTCTGGCTCAAAGACAAGCGCCAGTCCATCCATGATAGAGGTAGAGACGCAGGCGCTGATCGATTCCTAACAAGGTCACTTGTGATGTTTGCAATCCAGATAGTTAATTCTCCAGATGGACGTGATTCCTTATCAGCAAGTACGGACTTGTGTAGTTTTTGTTGTTGGGGAAAGTTGGAGTTTTTGGGGTTTTAAGACCAAATTCAGGACAAAGGGGGCATTTAAAAGCAGCCGTCTGTTCCTGACAAACAGCACTCTGTAGCAAGAAGATCAGAAAAACAAGAGTAGCTATTGTGTGAAATGGGGGTTACTTTGAGACAAGCTCTTGAATGGAGACGTGGAGAGCTTGCACACAGCAGTAGATGAGACACCAAAAGTTCAGCCTTTATATTTTTCAGTAGCTGATCAATGTGTCTTTATGGTCAGGCCCCAGATGAAGCCACAGACACCATCAATCTCAGTCAGAAGGTGTCCATCGCAGCACCTGAGGACACTGCACCTGAAGAGACTGCACCGGCTGAGACAGAGGAGGAAGAAAAGCCTCTGCCTGAGTGGAGCGAAAAGGTGGCGAATGGGATCCTGACAGGTGAGGTCGAGCTGCATCTCCTTGCAGAGTATCTCTATCTGTTGATTTTTTTAATTTGCAGTTAGGAAAGACGAGAGACTGAGTGGATAGGCCTGTGGTTCTTTCAGGTGCATCCTGGCTGAGCTGGGGTTTGGTCAAAGGAGCGGAGTTTACAGGCAAGGCCATCCACCTAGGAGCATCTAAACTCAGGGAACACATCACCCCGGAGGACAAACCCACCCATGTCAGCCCTAGTGTCACCAAAGGCCTCCATGTTGCCAAGCAAGCGACAGGAGGAGCTGTCAAAGTCAGCCAGTTTTTAGGTGAATGAGTCATCCACCGTCAGCATTACTTCCCGACCTTGTGTGTGTGTTTTTTTTGGCAGTGGATGTTTAATCAAGTAATGCTGTGTTACTGCAGTGGACGGAGTGTGTACAGTCGCCGGCTGTGTGGGTCGAGAGTTGGCTCCACATGTGAAAAAACACGGAGGAAAGCTGATCCCAGAGTCCATGAAGAAAGACAAAGATGGACGCTCTAACATAGACGGCGCCATGGTCGTAGCTGCCAGTGGAATGCAAGGTAAAGGATTTCTGCTCTTTACCGCCTCTGAGAGGACGTTGTTTAAAAGGCCCCTAACACACTTTGCATTTTCTGTATTTGACAAGGATTTGCCACCATGTGGACTGGCTTGGAAACAGCAGCTAAGAATATCACCACAAGTGTAGCATCAGAGACAGTCACCACCGTAAAGCACAAGTAAGTCTGATCTTGATTATTCGATCACCTGTCTGATCACTGTCACTCACTTTAATACAAAGAAACAAAAGTCTAGATCATCACTGCTCTTCTAACAGGTGTATCATACATCTGCATCTACATCTGCAAACCAAACGTGCACTTACGTCCTTTTCAATTTGCTTTGCAGATTTAGGGGTCTACAAAACATCTTTGACCCCCCTAATGAGAAGAAGAGTAATTATTCCTAATCAGTCACAGTTATTACTCTCTGATCTACTAATCACCAAGCATGACTTTCAATGAATTGGCTCTTGCACAAAGCACTCTAACATAACCAACGCTGTGCAAATTCACTGCCACCCCTCTGCTGCCAATCACATGACGGGGCTGAAATCAAGCGTAGCTACCTCTCTGTCTCACCAGATTTTGATGGATTTTAGGGGTCGTGTACTTTGTTACAGGGACAAGCAAATATCTTCAGTGTAGATCAGTGTTTCCTGCTGGGTGGGTAATGCCATAATAATACAAATTTGTCAAACACTGTGTGTGTTTTGATGTGGCAATAATATCATTCAGTTGTGTTAGACGTAAATGTACAGTAATGTAAGAGGATACATGTATGTAAACACTGTAATAAGTGATTATATGTGTATCGCCCACCCTAAGATGAATCAGCTGTAGCAGAATATCATCTTAGTGAAAATTCTGGCTGTCAGAGGGGTCTTAATTTTAAGGGTGCGCACTTGCATGGGTTAACCTCATGTTACAATTCCCACACAGCATGGCATCTCTTCAATCCTTGCTCAGCATATTCATTAATTCTCCCCTAATCCTCTTTTTCTCACCTTTTTCGCTCTGACCCCTCACCCAATCTGACTTCTGACGAAGGTACGGAGCAGCAGCCGGACAAGCCACAGACCACGCGGTCAATTCTGCCATTAACGTGGGTCTCACTGCCTTCAATGTTGACAACCTTGGGATCAAAGCTATGGTGAAAAAGACTGGCAAGCAAACGGCAAAGGCCATTTTGGAGGACTACAAGATCCCGGAGAAACCACAGAACATTAAACAAGTGGAGAAATCTGACAAATAGCTTTCAGTGCCTTGCCTCATCCCTTCAGCAAAGCCTTAAAGCCTAATTTGTACTCTTCTATCAAATACAGCTATATTTAATATTCACTATTTATTAAATATGTTCTATATTTACAAGACAGCTGTTGTTAAGTACATCATATAGTTTCATATACCTTTTAAGCACCTTAACCCTTATTGAAAATAAGGTAGATGGACCTAGATAAAGAAAAACAACAGGTTGTTCAACATCTATGAAAAAAGTAACTATAAATATAAGGTTTATGAAAATAATGGCTCTAACATTCAGGTAAAATCACTGACCTTAGAAGATCCTAATATAAATGTGCTGTATGTACGAAGGAAACCTAGATGTTTTTGTATAGCTACACACTGGACATTTTCTAATCTTAATGAAGTGTTTATGTGTTTGAGTGTCCCCCCCTGTAAGGGTAAGTGCAATTTACATCCTTTTAATCAACCATCAGGAATATTATCTGTACTCAAGTATCCATAAATGTAACTGTTTTAAGAGAAGAAGCATCTCACTAGCATTAGTGACCAAAATTATGTCACTGCTGCTGCTGACTGTGCTTACAAATCTCAGATGATATCCATAATCTGTGTTTAAGAAGCAGGAAATCAGATGTCTACTGTCTGTAATGTAATGTACCTTCAAAGTGAATTTTTTCAGCTGCAAGTCTGAGGAGTCTAGACCTGATCAGTTTAGCCGAGCTGTCTTCTGCATTTCTTTAAAATATTAACGTTTGTGGTGTTTTATACAAAAATCTAGATTTCATTATTTTTATGTGTGAACAAAACATTTAGCCAAAGTGATTTTTGACGTGTGATGCTAACTGTTTTACTATCCAGCCGGTGTCTGTATTTTTTGACTGCTAAGGATCGCCTCCTTTAAACTCCAGCTTTAAGACTTCAACAGACAAATGTAATTTTTACAAGACTAACCAATACTGTAACTAAGCAATGACATTATAATTCAACAATGAGTAATTTAATAAAATGAAACGAGTTAAACTCTTTTGTTTTTGGCTTTTTTTTTTTGCTTTGTGCAATGAGAGCAGGGTGAAATGAGCAGTTTCACTCTGAGCAAATCTAGGAAAAAAACTAACCCCTCCATCTAGGGGTTAGGTTTGTGTGTAATAGTACTTTTGTCATACTGAGAGTTCGTTCTGTAAATTATTTTAAAAAGCCATTACTGTCCAACAGTAGATCAAGGTAAACTCAATTAACTGTCACTGTTTGTTAAAGGAATATTACCACAGATTAAAAAATTCCAATTTTGGTATGAAAAAAATCTCATAGTATAGTATGATTAAAAAATTCTAATTTTGGTGTGAAAAAAATTGTCATAGTATAGTATGATAAAAAAATGTCATAGTATAGTATGATTAAAAAATTCCAATTTTGGTATGAAAAAAATGTCATAGTATAGTATGATTAAAAATGTCATAGTACAGTATGATTAAAAAATTCCAATTTTGGTATGGAAAAAAACCTCATAGTATAGTATGATAAAAAATTTCATAGTATAGTATGATTAAAAAATTCTAATTTTGGTATGAAAAAAATCTCATAGTATAGTATGATTAAAAAATTCTAATTTTGGTGTGAAAAAAATTGTCATAGTATAGTATGATAAAAAAAAATGTCATAGTATAGTATGATTATTTTGGTAAGAAAAAAATCTCATAGTATAGTATGATAATAAATTTCATAGTATAGTATGATTAAAAAATTCTAATTTTGGTATGAAAAAAATGTCATAGTATAGTATGATTAAAAAATTCCAATTTTGGTATGAAAAAAATCTCATAGTATAGTATGATAAAAAATGTCATAGTATAGTATGATTAAAAAATTCCAATTTTGGTATGAAAAAAATCTCATAGTATAGTATGATTAAAAAATTCTAATTTTGGTGTGAAAAAAATTGTCATAGTATAGTATGATTAAACAATTCCCATTTTCGTATGAAAAAATGTCATAGTATAGTATGATAAAAAATGTCATAGTATAGTATGATTAAAAAATTCCAATTTTGGTATGAAAAAAATCTCATAGTATAGTATGATTAAAAAATTCCAATTTTGGTATGAAAAAAATCTCATAGTTAGTATGATTAAAAAGTTCTAATTTTGGTGTGAAAAAAATTGTCATAGTATAGTATGATAAAAAAATGTCATAGTATAGTATGATCAAAAATGTCATAGTATAGTATGATCAAAAAATTCCATATTTGGTATAAAAAAATTTCATAGTATAGTATGAAAAATGTCATAGTATAGTACGATTAAAAAATTCCAATTTTGGTATGAAAAAAAATGTCATAGTATAGTATGATTAAAGAAAATCTTATTATTGTATGAAAAATAACTGTCATAGTATATAGTATGATTAAAAATGTCATAACATAGTATGATAAAATAAAATCCAATTATGGTAGGAAAAAAATATCATAGTATAGTATGTTAAAAATGTCAAAGTATAGTTTGATAAATATGTCGTAGTATAATCTGTTTAAATATATAAATATATATATTTTTTGGTATGAAAAAAATATCATAGTATAGTATGATAGAAAATATAATAGTATGGTATGATAGCAAAACAATCAAATTTTGAATAAAAAAATATCATAGTTTTGTATGTTAAGAATTCTCATAGTATTGTCACAACCTGGCTCTTAGGCTATAATAAAAATGGGAGGCGAGACGAGGTAGATGCCAGTTAAACAACAATTTATTACAAAAAAACACAGAAAATACAACAATCAAATTCAGTTTTTCCAACAATTAAACAATCAGCCGGTCTGCACTGGACGCTCAGCAATGTGTGTCATCAGAAAGAGAGAGCCACTGAATCCAGGAGGAGGATTTAAGGCAGAGGACTACGCGAAGCCCAGTTGTCAGACATCTCTTGATTAGGATGACCCCATTTCCACCCGACCTTGCAACAGAGTACACAAAAACACAAAAACAAGCAAACCAGACAAACAAGAGTACCTAATAGTAGAGAGCAATCGTCACAGTATAGTATAATAAAGAAAAATATAAAATTGTCATAATTAAGTATAATTAAAAACAATCCAATTTTGGTAAGAAAAAATGTCATAATATAGTATGATAAAAAAAAACAATTTTGGTATGTTAAAAAATTATTCTGATAGTTTGATAAAAATGTCATAGTACAGTATGATAAAATGTCATAGTCAAGAATTATGAAAAATTTTAATTTTAGTATCAAAAAAATGTCATAGTATAATATGATATAAAAAAATCAATATTTGGTTGATAAAAAAAATCTTATTGTAAAGTATGATAAAAATGTCATAATATGGTATGATATAAAATTCAAATTTTTATATGAAAAAAATGTCATGGTATAGTATGACAAAAATTGGAATTTTAGAATGAAAAAATGTCATATTATAGTATGTTAAAAATGTCATAGTACAATAATTTAAAAATGTCATAGTATAGTATGATAAAAATGTCATAGTATACTTAGATATACAATTCAAATTTTGGTATGAAAAAACTGTCATAGTATAGTATGTTAAAAAATGTCAGTACAGTATATTAAAAAATGTTATAGTATTCTCTGATAAAGTTTTAATTTTGGTGTGAAAAAAATCTCATAGTAAAGTATGATAAAAATGTCATAGTATAGTATGGTGAAATTGTCATAGTGTAGTATGTCAAAATATCCTAGTACAGTGTGATAAAAATGTCACAGTAAAGTTTGATAAAAAAAAAAAAAAAAAAGTTATAGTATAGTATGATTAAAATATCATAGTAAACTAAAATGTCAATGTATAGTACAAAAAAAGTAGTGATGGTGAGATGAAGCCTCCTGAAGCATTGACACTTTTTATCCAGTTGCTCGACTTATGACAGTATACATTTCATGCAAAATCAAACTTCAAGCTTCATTTGGCTTTATTTGCTTTCCTGTTTCATCAAGTGGACAATAATTGTAAAACAGGCAGTGATTGTCAAAGACATCCCATTGAATAAATGAATGAATATGATGTTATGTGTTTGTGATACCGAAACGAAAGTTATTAATATGGTGTCTGTCTTTATGACACTGTGGCAGGGTAAAAAAGTGAAAGGGGGCATCAACTGTGGAGAGGGTTGTGATGTGAATGTGCATGTGTTACTTGGTTTGTGACTGTGCTTTTGTTATGGGGACAACATAGAACTCAAACATTTCATTCATTTTTAATTAAAAACAACAACTTCAACAAGTGGTGTTTTCACATGCTTTGACATTTTTAGGGGGATTTAAAATAAATGTTTTGTTTGTTAGTTGTAAGAAGAAGACCTGAAGGGCAGCATTGAGTGTTGATTGCCTGTTTAAGCCTCATCACATGACAAGCCATAGTGGCGCCATTAGAATTTGGAGTTTTATGTATACTTTTACTAACCACCAATTTGTTAGTATGCAGCACTGATTCGAAAACATAATTTTGTATGAAATGTAATATTTGGTCATACATTATTCTTATCCATTTCATGATATAAAATAAAAACAAGAATGAAATGCAACAAAAATAATTAACATTATTTGTCAAGGTAAAAAAATACTTATTTAAATCCATATTTACCAAAGTCAAACAAAAAGTCTACATATGAAAAATAAACAATAGCAGCAATGATAGAAATGATAAAGTATATATTTTAAATAGTTGTATTGTATTACATTTTTAGTAATCATAATAGTTCTTGTTCAAGTTATTAGTTGAATGTCATCAGCCAGGGTTAAGGCTAACGCTTGTCTGTAATTTTACCTGGATAAAATTGTCCATTAATCGATCATATTAGTTGTGATTCTGTGTCTTTACTGCTCTGAAATCCTCTAAATGTATTTGACCCATCAGCATTTGATATTAAAGCCAAAATTGTGAGCAAAAGAGAAAATAGAATATTTCCAACTGTTCTTTAATAAATGTGAGTATTATTTGTAACTGTTAACGAATGTCTTTGCCTAGAAAAATCAGTAAAAATATCAGATCTGGTACTTTATAATGTGCAGTAGTCAATCACGAGTGTCTCAGGCAGCAAACAAGTTATATCAAAACTGACCACCAGGGGGCTTTTTCTGTATTATGCCTATTGTTTCATCTAAATGGGTCCAGAACTCCAGATCCTGAAGTCTTCTATTCCTTGTGTTTGATCCTCAGGCGCAGGAGGACTGGAGACCCGGTGCTTCGTGGGACCTGCAGAGGACATGATTAAAAGTCAAGATTTGAGACACTTAAATTTTTTACTAAAAAGGCTTTAGGTATCATTAGTCAGCAGTTAATTTAAAATTGTTCAGATTGAACCATTTTCCAGTTGAAATGACTTTAAATCTTTGCTTTGAATGGAAATGGCAGACGACACCTAAGTGCACCAACATTTCCATTCAAAAGCAAGGAAGTCTAAAGATAATTTCAACTAGAAAACAGTTCAATCTGAACTATTTTAAATTAACCGCTGACTAATGATACCTAAAGGCTTTTAAGTAAACACTTTAAGTGTCTCAAGTCTTCACTTTTAATCATGATTTAAGTCTCAAAACACTTAGTGAAATTAATTTCTTCCTGAAGGAGACGAAGGAGGAGGTCCCCCAACTCCAGTATCCGCTGGCGATGAGTCCTGAAAGAAAAGAAAAGACAATTTGTTCGTCATCTTTAACCCAACTCAACAAAAAAACAAAAATCTGTGCTGAGGATATCAAACTGGACTGTGGTGAGAGCTCACAGAAGCTCTCAGGCTACTTCACTGATCAAGGCGTTGTTTTTTTACCGTGTTGTCTTTTGAAACAGTAAAATTAGTGAAAAGTTTCACTGAATTTGTGCTTAAGATCTATTTGCACTTACTTTTGCATGACTGTCAGGAAAGCTGATTTAAGTCTTAGATATCTATAGACCTTCAGCTATGTTTGGTGTTATTATTCTTGTGTCTTTTTCATTAATAAAACGTGTGACTTTTAACTCCAGTGTTTAATGTGAGTCTTTCATGATTTAGTACAATAGTCTTAAGATGCATTACACTTAAAGAAAACACTACACATACAGGGAACTAAATGCTTAATTAGTGAACAAGAGGGAGCTTCAGATCATAATCTCTTTGTAGTTGAGTCTCTGGACTTTGACAGAAATTAATATCCACATTAGATTAGTGACATCTTAATCAAAACATTTAATTAACAGGTTTTTAGCAGTTGTTCTTGTAACTCACTATTTTTGTACATTTTATTTATTATTTTTTTGGCCAATAGAAGGTTCCAATGTAAAGTGCCCAGGACTTTTAGCTTGTAGTTATTTCCCGCAAATAAAAGTGAGTAAAAACATTGATTTAGGTTAGCCAGAGTGTAAGTCACAATCTACTAATACAACTCTGGACTTAAAGGTGACCTTTCTTTTTAGCATTTTGTCAGTTGGTGATAAAATTATAGCAATGAAAAAATGAAAATCTGTTTAGATTTCTTTAGATCATGTCTCATCAACAAAGTGGTAATTAATTTTCCAGTATTTAAACGCTGATGAACTTTAAAAAACACAGATGATAACATCATCTCAGAGTATCCGCTTCCGTCCAACTGTGGGCACATGTAACATAAAATACAACAAATAAATGATCAGAATTTGAGTTTATTTTTAGTTTAACGAGCACATTTGTGTAAAGAATTTTCAAAGTTTGATAACTTTAACTCCACTTCAACAATTGTAAATTTATAAATTTATAAAGTATTACAACCGTTAGTGGTACCTGTTCATTAGCATATCTGGCTGAAACACGAGCGCGGTTGGGGAAGTTTTTTGGTAGCTTGTTAGCATGGGAGGGTCCCGCCCTCCTTTGCCTCTGATTAGCTAGAAATGCTGGGATCCGATTGGTTATTCCTTATAGCTGTGAACCGTCAACGTCTGTCGGGTTAAGGTAAGGGAAAGGGTTAGGATTAAGGTTAGGGTTAGGAGATTAAGAAGTGCGATATTGACCTGTACCGTTCTGTTCGATGTACAGAGCCGACAGCCCGCGCTTGGCTCGAAGGTGATGACGTTTCCAGCTTTTTTAGCCAATCAGAGGCGACGGAGGGCGGGACCTGCCACTACTATCCCACGAAAAAAAATCGGTGCGCGGTTAGCCTGTTAGCATAATCCACTCAGCGTCTTCTTGTTTATTTTCGCTTCTCTTTTACTTACCTCAAAAGTCATGATACGCTCGGATTCAGAATATATTGTCCTTACTATATATCCATGTCATTTCTTCTCTGTTTCAGTTTTTTATAGAAATGTCAACACGCTTTTCTCTGGCGTTGTTAGCTTCCACCCCCCTTGGCCGTTACTAGCAGCGGGGGTTATTTATACCCTCGGTGGTTCTGCGTCACGTGACAAGCGGATATCCGGTGAAAGAAAAATAAACGTTTGAGTTAAACAAAACAGAAAAATACCGACATTTTAGAGTTTAAACAAACAAACAATGAAAGAAAATGCGTGATTTATTTCAACTGCTGTAAAATTCGTTCAAAAAATTAGGGTGAGATCTTTATTTTTAACCAAACAGACAAAGTTTGAGATAACGCCGGTATTGTGTGTATGTGCAATTTTTAAAAACTCCTTTTACAGACACTCATTTGTTCACGACTAGTGTCAATAATTATTTATTATTTATGTATTATTTTTTTTGCAGCTCTCAGCGCTTAGCATTTCTAATTAGTCTATATTTTATGATCGACTTTCAGTGGTTTTAATCTAATAGGGGAATGTTTTTTTTTATTTTCAATCAGAATAATTAATAATTTAAATTGTTACTTAATCACTCAAGCAAGTGAATAGCCTTCACGTGAACGCGCATCACCCTCACACACACACTAGTGTTTCTCCAATGGCCACGTGCACGACAAGCGCTGACACCCGAACGGTCCCGGTGTAAATCACTGCAATGGCAGAGACGTAGGGGAGGGTGGAGGACACCGGCAAGAGCCCTGCCTCCACATTGCATGTGAACACACGGCAGAGCAGACGCACGGAGGACAGGCAACACCAACACAGGGGCAACAAAGGGACGCATGGTTCATTCCAGGCATCATATGAATAAGTGATTCAAGTTTCGTTTCCAGATACGCTGTTTCATCTGTCCTCACCTCAAAGGTAAGAGCGACTGCACCACAGTAGAGAAATCCATATGTTCTGCACCATTTTTGCGCTATATCAGATCTATTTGTTTTCTTTATTCTGTGTTCTTCTTATTGCAGTAATCTTTCAGCCAATCTCTAATAGGATAAATACTATTGATCTGTTCTCTGATAATACATGTCAATTGCATTTTCTGTAGAGATAAAACTGAGCCACGCCAGGCAGCATGAAATGGGTGTGACATATTACTACATAATGTGTGCATGAGCAGCAGCAGCAACATCAGGCTTGAGTCAGTATTTTGGGGAATTAGTGTGAAACAGAGCTTGTTTTTCCAATGTCTCATGTGAATGCAAGTGAAAGTGCTCATTCAGACAGTAACCATGTTTCTTGTGTTATTTAGGGTGTATTAGCACTGCACAGTCATGGAGCTGGAGCACTTTGATGAGCGGGACAAGGCTCAGAGAAATACCAGAAGGGGCTCAAGAGGTAATGGGCTCCCCAGTCCCACACATAGTGCTCACTGCTGCCTTTACAGAACCAGGACACTGCAAGCACTGATATCAGAAAAGAAGGCCAAGAAGATTCGATTCTACCGCAATGGAGACCGCTACTTCAAGGGGATTGTGTATGCTATTTCTCAGGAGAAATTTAGGTCCTTAGAAGCACTCCTGGCTGACCTGACTAGGTCTCTGTCAGACAATGTTAACTTGCCACAAGGGGTGCGGACCATATATACCATTGATGGGATGACAAAGATCGCCTCTATGGACCAGTTGGTGGAAGGTGAGTAGTGTCTCTGATAGTGCTGTCAGTTAGATTTAGCAGGGTAATATGAGGTTTTTCTTATTTGACATTTTCCTTCTGTATCTGCCTGGGTAAGAAAATGAAAATTTCCATTTTTTCAGCTGACAGTGCAACAGAAAAGACCCACTAAAACCATTGAAAAATTCCTTTTATCATGTACAATAAAAACTGCTTAGGTGTAACTTTTGCCCTTTTTCCAGGTGAGAGCTATGTCTGTGCATCCATAGAGCCTTTCAAGAAGCTGGACTACACAAAGAATGTTAATCCTAACTGGTCAGTTGGTGCTAGGACCGCCATGGCAGTCCGTGATCCTGCTTCCCTTGGTAGCGCCAAGGCCGGATGCCCTGAAACCAAGGAAAGCAAGGATTTTATCAAGCCTAAACTGGTGACTATTGTCCGCAGTGGAGTAAAGCCTCGCAAGGCTGTGCGCGTCTTACTCAACAAGAAGACTGCACACTCCTTTGAACAAGTCATGACTGACATTACAGACGCCATAAAACTTGACTCTGGAGTAGTCAAAAGGCTTTATACAGTGGACGGCAAGATGGTAGGTGTTCAGTTTTCTCTACTTATTGTGTTTCCCTGAACTTTGTTTTGAATGAAATCCTCACAAGTAGAGCACAATGGCAAACATTTAATTTGGGGAATAGCTGACCAAAAATCAAGAATGAAAATTTGCTAGTGTAAGATAATCAGGTTTACAGTTTCTTTTGCATCTCATACACAACAAAACGTGATACAAGGAATTAAATCTGCTCAAAGTTACTTACATTTGCCCAGAATTTGAGTGAGTAAGGCTTAGTATACTCCCTTTAATCAAGGTAGGGGCTTAAAATCTGAGTCTCATCAATTGCATACTCCCCTCAGTGCTATTCAAAGCATAGTGTTATGTAAGTTTCTGACCAACCTGTTCAAGATTTCTTTTTCTCATTTAATGTTCCAACACTTTAGGGCTGTGCACAGAGTTGGTGAAGTTGGTTGCACATTCCTCACCAACACAAGTTATACAGCTCTTTTGGATATTTATGTATTGTTTTCATTTCCTATGATTCATTCCTTTTTTGTGAGTGAAGAAGAAGAACTGCCTTGTGATATAAAAGTCTAAGAGGACTGTCATCATCTTTGCATGCCCCCCTCATAACTTGGCTGTGTGCATTATCCACAGAGATTTGGTTGGTGGGTTCAGATGTTCTCATCACATTCTGTCTTTCTATTTGTAGAAAATCTTACTCAAGAAACTTTAAGTGCAAACTGCACACAAGACAGACTTGGTAAACATTTGCGAGTACAGTGAGTAAATCTGAGGTTTCAGGAGAAACAGATCACTGTCTCTAACATTGGGGGGTCCTTTTCATTCTCCATAAACGTCTTTGAGAACGATTTCCCATAGAGACAGCTCAGAGGGTTAAAAGTCACCTGGGAATATTTGCTAAATGTGTTACAAGAAGTAGGTTTCTAGGACTCCAGCACACTTTCCTACCAAACAGAAGCACATTATTGAATGAGTATTCACTGAGTGAGTAACTGCACTCCTTGAGTTACAACTTTATTAAATAACAAGCTGCTTGCTGTCTTTATTCGAATATAACACTTGATTGAACTCTCTGGACAGCACACTACAACAGAACTATCAAGCATTGTATTTTCGTGCTCAAGTTATTTATCATAAATTGCACACATTCATAGCATTGGTTAACACATTTCTGGATTCTATAAAATGATATTAGCTCTGCTTTATGGGCCGATAACTGTGGACGACACTTTAATCCACTGCAGATGAAACTGACTTAATATGGTCAAAAGCTGTCCCACAGAAATAAGCAGCTCTTTATTTAAGCATGTTCATAAACTTTATCGCCTGCACTTTTTATAAGTAACCTTATCAGAAATATGAGGGGTTTTTTTCACTGGTGGTTTCTATGGTGACATGGTTCCCTGAGCTGGTTGCTAAGGAACAGCCTCTGCGGCAGAGCGGTGCAGTAGTGATGTCAGAACTGTAGGTGTAGTGTGAGAGGGTTCATAGATGCGGTGTCTGGTCTGTAAGCCTTATAATACACATGGTGGCAGGATGGAGCACATGGCGGGGGTATTATCCCAGGATAGAGGGAACAGTTGGGGATTTCTCACACCAACAAACAAATCTGCCTCCACATACCCTCTATTTTAGGAATACTGTTTTTAGCAAAGTGTAAATGGACATGGTATTGCACTCGATCAACAGTGGATGTCTACTGTGTATACTGTGTGAATTTCTTCCTCTGCCTTTTTTGTCTCACAGTAATTATTAAGTTCTTTTGCTTCTTCTAATGTTGTGTGCTTTGCCTTGCCAATAAGCTTTTGTGTTATGTGCTTGGCAGTGCAGTTTGGTTTGCTATTTTTTATCATGTTGCGGTTCCAGATGGCCAAATAGACCCCTGTTGGCATCAAAGAGCCTTTTTCATGGGCGTTTAACCTTTGGTAAATGACCTGCTTTGGCTTTTGGTCCTGACACAAGGACATTATGGAGAAACTGTGGCATTTTGTGCAGTTTTAGGTTGCATGCACAAACCTTACAAGCCTAAATGTTTGCTATAAGATAGTATAAAAGGTTATGTTTACAATATTTCTATATGTTATTCTCATTTATCCTCTTGATACATATATTGCACAAGTAATAGACATTTAGTTTGGTCTGTTGGCACATTTTCTTACAGTGTTGCTCTGCTTGTTGGCAGTGATCCCTTTATGCTGCTGAGTCACTCTGTGGTGATTTTGCACCATGAGGATGAAGTGTAAGTAGGTCAAAATGGACATAAAGAAAATGATCTTCAGAGGTGTGTCATCAAACTCAGATAGATGTAGAATCATCACTAAGAAACATAGACAGAGAAGATTATGGTGAAACATATCTCCTGCAGATATTTTAAATGCACGTTTGTGAGGACATCCGAAGAGATGTAGTCACTGGCTTTCCTATCCCTGCTGTAATTGATATAGCTTTGTACTGTTATTGTATTACACACACTGGATACTTCCCAGTGCATGTTAGAGTCATTCCCCCTTGCTGAAATAGATGTCAACACTTCAAGGGACAGTGTAGTGTGCTCGAGTGAAGACTTGATTCTCTAAATTATGTAAGCATCTCATTCATGCTTAAGAAACAGATAAAGGTTTACAGTGTCATATGAGCCGGAGTCAAACCTAGCTTATGTTTTCCACTTCATCAGTTTATGTCGCTCTTTATTCTGCACTTCTCAAGTTTGGTTCATCTGAATCCAAAATTAACTTTTAGCCACCACAGATGGTATTTCTGTGTGATGCAGACAAAGAAAGTTGTAATTTTATTTTAAAAAAGTAAAGATCAATTTATGTTCATATAACTAAGGCAAAATTTTCTCAATCTAATAGACTTTTTGTGGTGCAAATGTGTTGTGAACGGTGCTTTTCTTACTTAAGCTGTATAGAATATTTTTAAAATTGCATTTTCAGCTCTTGACAGTATTTTAACTTTATAACTCTGTCCTTTTCAAAAGCCATCACTGTAAATAAAGGGGAGAAATCAGGATGAAGGACATAGGGAGGCTTTCTGGCTCTCCTTTCGCCCACTGCTGTGACTTGGCTCTTAACCACTGAACAGTGACTTACTCAGTGTCCCATTGCATTTGGCTTGGAGAATAAATTTTCAGTTTTTGTTTAAAGTTTCTACTAATTATGCGCCAACTAAAGTGGAACATGCTGTTGTACTTTAATTAGAATATTGCAGACGCTTTACAGAATATAAAGTGGGGACTGTGAGCTGTGTTAGTAGGAAATATGGGGTCTGCATTAAATTAGCATGTTGAAATATTTTACCTCTAGTTTTGATGGTTTTGTTCTAAAATCTGTGGATGAATTAAAATGACTTTTACATAAATACATACCTTATTTCAAAGTCTTTCAAAAGGACATCATTACCATAGGGATTTATTTTGTCTGGTCATCATACCAGCCTTTTTGGATTTGATTTGGAAACATCACTTTTCTCCTGCCGCTGCTGAAAGTCAGACATTGTTAGAACTACTTAGAGCTAAATATAGACACTTAAGACGGGGACATTGTGGTTTGGAGCTTGAAATAGTTAGGCCAGTGTACTGTGTTGCATTCTAACATTTGTTTTAATCATTTTGGGGCGTTGTGGGTGTGTCCTTACTGATATTTTCATTGTGCTGACTTTCACTTATTGGAGAAGCTTCTGCCCCAGTCTGTCTCCATGTAAATCTGCAGTCATGTCAGAAACCTGCAGCAGACCTGATAGGATTTTATATGATAATATACTTGACTGGCTGCTGTGTTCAGACTTGAAGAAGGGATTCAGCACCTTGGAAAGCTCCACCTGTCCACTGATAAAGATTATTTAACTAGTTTGAGTTTTTGCACCGTCAACGGTCTTTAATTGATTGATTTTTAAGTCTTACCTCCTGCTGTGTTTGCTAAAAAGAAGCTGATCAATGACTGCACAGGATGCTCCTAGACTGCTAGGAGTGTCTCTGTGTATGTGTTGGTGTGTTTGGGGGAGGGTAGGCCTGATGTAGCTGTTGTGTTACTCAGCCAGCAAGCATGAGTAATCAATAAAAATCAACACATTCATATTTGCGTTCATAATTATTAAGCTGCTCTATTTTTAAGCATGAAATTTCTTTCTCCTGATGCTTTAAATTGAAAAAAAAAAAAGATTTAAATTAGTCCATGTTTTGTCACTCCTTAAACTTGGTACTGGCTGTAAATCTCTTTATCGCAAATATCTAGAGTTTTAAGCATATTTCATAATCCTGTTGGGAATAATGTTGCCTCGTCTTTGTTCAGTTTTGACCACTTCTTGTTCGATTTTTTATCACAGAGATTTTCAGTTTTAGAGGCTGACCTCTGTTGAATCCTTAAAGCCAGATTTGTACCCACATTGTCATAGTATGAAGGTGCTCCATGTTATTCCGTCTCAGCTAGACTGGTTGTGACATTGTTCATGATGTCTGCGGTTCGTACTGTTCAGTTTCACAGATAGGATCTGGCAGTGTATCTTAAAGTAGCCTCCCATCGTCTCGAACTCAGCTGTGATTCTGTCTGGTCTCCTTGGCAACCGCTGTGCAGCCCTACTCCCTTTGGGATCTCGCACTCCTTTGGAGAAGAGGTGGGGGCAGGGGCTGTCAGAGAGGTGCATCTGCAACGAAAAAGGACCACGTTAAGCCTCCCTCTGTGCTTAATTTTTATTGAAAGACATCATGGATGATTGACCTTTAGAGGTTTGGAGGAGGTCTTGCTGCAGGTTGCTGATAAACTAATCCCTCACTTTAGTCTGTCATCACTGTGTTTCCAGAATACAAACTGAGAGTATTTTATTCTTTTTAATGTTTAATATTTTAAACTATTTATGTCTTCTAAAACATTAAAGATTTATTCAAGGTAAACCAGATTATTGGCAAAAGACAGATGACATTTAACTCAGGGTTAGGGGCAGTGTGGTTGACCGTATGTGGTGGCTTTCTTCGCTCTGTGTCTAACCACTTAAGATATTCTGTTAGACTCCTGCTGAATTCTCATTGTTCCTTCATAATAAAACAATTGATAATGTAGTTTTCTTTATTTATTACATTTCTTTCCCGAGTGAAGCATGGGAGAAGCACAGTCATTCTCAGTATTAATTTACTCTGCCTAGTCAGTGTGGGATCACATTTGTGTTGGCAGAGATTGTGCTGTGTGAAGAGGAAATGAAAAACAGGAGCTCTACAGTGTGTGGAGCGGGGCTGTAGTTAAGCACATCAATAGTTCTTTTGGAGGAGAAGGTCAGGACTCCATCAGCGTCTTCATTTATTTATGACACTGGATCCAGTGTGATGGGCTTCTGTATTAATGATAGCAGCTGATGCATCAACCCAATCATCAAAGCTCTCTTTGAAGAAAAGTGAAAAAAAAAATGAAATGAAAATCTACTTTTTAAATCAACTGAAACAACCTGATTGTCGTGTTTTCAAGTCAAAGCATCAAAGTAGTTTTCTGACTAAATTTAGCATCCATCCAACTACCATAAAGGGGTTTAGGGTTTGGGTTTTAATACCTCAAAATATGAAGAAAGAAATGGTTCAGAATTTATTTTCCCTTGTACTGTGTTTATGTACGCATTTATGGCTCTGGCCCCGAATCAGTAATCCAGAAGTTTACGGTCACCGGAGATATTCTGTCGAAGATCTTTAATTGCCTCGGTGAATGCTCACGACTAAAACACTCCCTGAAATGTCCTGAATTACTTCCAAGAGGCTCCATCAAAGTTTGAAAGGAGTCCAAATGTGGTGAGACTGAGTGTGCAACTACAGAGTGCCAGTATGTGGGTTTGTGCTCTGATTGAAATATTCCCACGCTTATGTTGCTGTCAAGATTTTTATTTATCTATTTATCAGTATTTTGTGGTGTTACAAGCCAGTAGGAGTGTTTCGATCTGATAAGTAGAGTAACTTTAGAGAAAGTACTCACTGCAAATTCTATTTATTTTTGTACTTGAACTGACAGAAGTATGTGGTTCTTCATAGGTCTGCTGCCTTCAGGACCTTTTCGGGGATGATGACATATTCATTGCCTGTGGCCCTGAGAAGTTTCGCTATCAGGATGACTTCAACTTGGATGAAAATGGTGAGAGTCCTTTGAATTATGGAAGATCTTAGATCACCACAGATGGGGTCAGGGGACTGTAGGTAAGACGAACTGATGTTTGCCCACCATGACTCAACAAAGAGGGCTTTAAATAAACAGTAAATAGATTTTGGATGAAAACATTTCCCTTTGTGGCCAAAAGTTACACTGGAGGTGAGGCTGTTAATTTAATTGAAAATATATCAATTTAGATATTGTTATCGCTTCTTTAAATTAAAAGCAATGCTGATGTGCTGTGTGCTATTTCAGCTGGGAAGAATAGAGTTTAGGAATAGGAATAGTGTCCACATTCATGCTTTTTCTCTTTTCTCTATAGAATGCAGAGTGGCAAAGTCTGCTTCGTACGGCCGACTCCCCACCATACACGGACGCTCTTCCCCAAGAAGTGGTGGGATGTCCCGCAGGAGCAAGTCTCCATCATCTGTCGGTTCAGGTAAATGTTTGAATATGTGTTATGTCCGCACTGAAAAAAAAAATTATGCTGGTTTTATATATATGTCACATACTGTCTTTTTGTTCTCATCATTATTCGTTTGTCTCTCAGCTAATGGCACTGCTGGCAGTCAGCTGTCCACACCAAGATCTGGAAAGTCCCCTAGCCCTTCTCCAACCAGTCCAGCCAGCCTCCGACGACGGCAGGTGATTAAAATGAATGTTACTTCTTTTTTGAAATGTGTTTTTAGAGATTAATCCCAGTTAGCTTTTGAAAACTTCTGTTTTGCCCTTTTGATGACTCTTATTGTTTTGTTGGTCAGCTGTTTATTTTTTTCCTCTCCGCCCTGAAGTCACAACATACTTTATTTTAGTGCCCACTAGAGTGCATTTGTTTGATTGATTCATTCCAGTCAATTCAAAGTGGGTCTAACTGGATCATGGAGTTCAACTATCAAGTTTAGTTCAGTTTGAAAATATTTTAATCAGGTTAGAAATTTAACAGCAATATTTTAATAAATTAAATGAGGAAAAATTTTAGAAATATTTCATATTTAAGAGTATTGGCTTGCAGAAGTCCATGCTACCAGCTGTTCACTGCACTTTTTGTTTATGTTGGGTGTGTTGGGACTGGACAGAGTGGTGATGTTGTCTATTAACTGATTTTTAAAGATGGCTGTGGTGATATATGCACAGATGTCGCTATAAGTTCATATGCTTTTAAGGTCTAAAAAAGTTCACTCCCCCTCTATAACTCAGGGTCTTTTAAATACTACTATGGGGTGTTAGAGCTGTTTTCTTATCTGTGCTCTTTGTGGTCATTATAAACATTAAGTTTAGAGACTGCAGAGAACTGTCAACTTTAGAGCAAAGTCTAATTATCACTGATAGTATCATTAATTAATGATTCCAGCTCTTTCTTATTTTTAGAGAACATGCCAGACTTAATGATGGTTCAAAGGTTACTATTATGTTTTGCCATGCCTGATTTATTTCTATCTTATCTTAAACTGCATACTTACAGATGTGAGAGTGGAACAAATAGGCTTTGTGTAAGCCGACTGTAATCACATTTTTACAAGCTCAGCCTTGCATCAGTGGGTCTTTCTGTCTCATCTTCCAGGGGTCTCTGCACAGTGGCTCTTCACTCTCTTTGGCTTCAACCAAGGTTTGTAGCTCCATGGATGAAGGCGACGGGCCTGGGAGTGAAGGTAAGATATCGCCTAAGTAGTGAACAAAGACCGATAATTTTCAGGATTTTTAAAAATATCTTTAGATAACCTTTGTTTTCTTCCATAGCTGAGTCGATGGATGAGTACTCCTCAGTCCCTGCCTCCATCGCAGAGAGGTACAAAGTGGGGAGGACTTTAGGGGACGGAAACTTCGCGGTGGTGCGAGAGTGTGTGGAGAGATCCACTGGAAGGGAGTACGCTCTGAAAATCATCAACAAAGACAAATGCAAAGGAAAGGTGAGTCTAACCGAGCGAAGTCTAATAGAAAGAAAAGATTTTTCTTAAAGTATTGAAGAAGTTTATTTATTCCCATTCAGTTTCAGTTGAGTGGAGTGGGTTAAGCTGATAAGTTTCCATTAAAGATGTCTTTGTTGTTTAATATGATTTGCTTCAAAATACTTTCTGGAATTACTGATAAGGACTCTTCGAAGTTTGATGTGTTTAGCTTTTTTTCTAAAGACTATTGATGATTCTTCCTTTGACTGAATTTCCTAATTAGGAACACATGATCCAGAGCGAAGTGTCGATCCTTCGGCGGGTGAAACATCCAAACGTCGTTCTTTTAATCGAGGAAATGGACACTCACGGCGACCTGTTTCTTGTTATGGAGTTGGTTAAGGTAGTACAGAAATGCTGTTTTCTAAAAGCAAGCATGTAGCTCCTTCACTTGATGTTTGTTTTGTGTCCATTTTTTATAAACCTTCCAGAGTCAACCCTGTTTATTTTGATACAAGAAAACCTGTTAAGCTGTGTCATCCAATCACGCACTAGAAAAGTGTCACCTTCTGCTTTTTCACACCCCAAATACTCTTTTTCTGTAGGGGGGCGATCTCTTCGATGCAATCACCTCGTCTAATAAATACACAGAACGAGATGCCAGCTGTATGCTCTTCAATCTGGCAAGTGCCATCAAATATCTGCACAGTCTCAATATCGTCCACAGAGACATCAAACCTGAAAACCTGCTGGTAAGTAACATTTACTGAATTTAAATAATGTTCTTTACCTATACTTTTTTACTTCAATTGGAAAGTCTTTTACATGGCTTTTAATTCCACCTCTGTAAAGTTAAAGGGATATTCCGGCGTAAAATTAATTAAGGGTCAAGCACACCATAACACCAAGTTAGACACCCCATTGAGAGATGAATGTTGCTGATTGCTTGCTTCTCTAGTTATACCAACTTTAATAATGACCTAATGTCTTTAATAAGACACATCACCTGATGATTAACACTTTTTTATAAATACCACAATCGTGAAAATTATTGATGTTGATTGGTTTGTGTTTTTCTCACTTACCTTTATTGTTTGTTGTGCAGGTATATGAACACCTGGATGGCAGTCGGTCTCTGAAGCTGGGTGACTTCGGCTTGGCCACTGTTGTTAACGGACCCCTCTATACTGTGTGTGGCACACCCACCTATGTAGCACCAGAGATCATCGCAGAGGCAGGGTGAGTGAAACATGTTATGAGACTGAAACATGATAAAAAAAAACATCCATAATCTGATTTAAACTGACCATTAGTTTGGCATGTTGTGTTTTCCTCCTGATTGACAGGTATGGCCTGAAGGTGGATATTTGGGCAGCAGGGGTCATCACTTACATACTGCTGTGTGGATTTCCTCCTTTCCGCAGGTATGTATGTGCTCCAGAGTTTTTACTCTGAATATGATGATTCAACCACATCAATCTGTTTAATAATGTCAAGTATGTGTGAATCTTGGCAGCTGAATATTATTTGTTTGATTTGTCGAGCAGCGGTGAGGATCAGGAGGCTCTTTTTGAACAGATTTTAAGAGGTCTGCTTGAATTCCACGCACCATACTGGGACAATGTGTCTGATTCTGCCAAGGTTTGTGTCTCTCAGTTATCCTCTCATCTGCTATTTATATATCCCAGTGAAAACAACAGAGCTGTCAGTGATCTGTTGCTGTGTGAGCTGCATGATTTTACCAAATACTCATAAGCTACCGTGTCTTTCTGAAGGCTCTGATCACAGGAATGCTGCAGGTTGAGGCGGATCGGAGATATACAGCCGTGCAGGTTCTGGATCACCCCTGGGTCAATGTAAGACCATTTAAAGAGTCACTTCTGCACACTCAGGCATTGCTGTAAAAGAGAATCACAAGGATCAGTGATTGGTCCAACACTGTTCATTCTTTATATCAATGAAATCTGCAATGTGACAGATTTTTTTAGATATGTAATAGTTCTTTTGCTCCAGTAAGAATTGAAAGGAACTTTTGTGTCGTGTAGAAATGGAGCTGGAAAATCTCAAGACTTGGTTTGATGCCAATAAATTATCTTTAAATATTAAAAAAACAAAATTTATGGTTTTTGGGAATCTAAATCAAAGTGAATGTAATGTTAAACTAAGAATCTGTAATGTTGACATTGAAAAAGTTACTGAGACTAAATTTCTTGGGGTTGTCAAAGATCAAAAGTTAACATGGAAACAACACATCGAGTACATTAAAGGGAAAATTTAAAAATCACTCACAATCCTGTACAAATAGAGAAGAGTATTGAATTACAAGGCCTTGCATTTGATCTACTACTCATTGATTGTTCCCTATATATCTTACTGTGTGGAACTGTGGGCATCCACCTTTAAAACCACTATAAATTCAATAATAAAACTGCAAAAACGAGCCTTACGTATTACCAATAAGACTGATTATTATGATCACATGGAGCCACTTTTTCTCAATTCTCATGTTATGAAATTTTATAATCTGTTTTATTATAAAATAATGCAAATTATGTGTCTAAGGAGATGTGTCTCCATTACTGGAGACTAAAAACGTGTCATTCTTTTTTGATTTTTAAAGCTATTTTTGAAGCCTATAAGTGCGATTAATTATCTGTTGTTGTGGTTTCTTTGCTTTTCTGGAGGTCGGTAGCCTAAAAAGTTGACAATACAGGATAGGCTTTTATAAGCAGTCTGCTTCTGCCTTTTCAGTCAATATTCAACACATGATTCTTGATTTAGTGATTTTGTTAGAAATGTCAATATTTGGTGTTGTCATGACTGAATAAACAACTACTAATCTACTACTACAAAATACAGTGTGATACAACAAGCAGAGTCACTGAAGCTTTTCTCTTTCTGAATTTCAGGATGACGGTGCGTCAGAGAATGAGCTCCAGCTGCCAATCGCTGGAAAGATCAAGAAGCATTTTAATACAGGGCCCAAGCTCAACAGCACGTCAGCAGGCGTGTCAGTCATTACAGTAAGTGCTGATCTCCATCTGATAGTGCATGCAACACAACATCTGACTCTGTTTTAAATGCATGCACTCTAAGTTATTATGCTTTGTATGACACTAAGATTTTGAAGGTGCTCACAAAGCAAATTCTTAGATGCATAAAAGCATTTTATCTTTTTCCTTTTCAGCAAAATCATTTTTCTTGGAGTTTATAATTTCTTTTAACACATTCATGACTCAGCTTTACTGTTTCACGTCTGTTCATGGTGACTTCCCTGCTCTCTGTCTGCATCAAACATGAGTTCATCCACGTGCTTCTTGCTGCCCAGACCGTCCTCTGTGTGCTTCCGCCTGTCATCCTCTTGTTTTAAGGATAGACTGTCAGCACTGTTCTTAAGAGATCTTAAAATAACATAACTAGCCTACATTTACAGTCATAGAGCAGAGCTAAATTTTACCATTGGCAGAAAAATACATGATTTATCCTACAATGAAGACACTGTTTTTGCATTTTTACATCACTGGAGGTATTTGGGGTGCAGTTTTCTGAAACCAAATGACAATATTTCATTAGAGTTAAAACTGCGACTTTGACATGGTATTTTTCTGCCACTTTTTTCTCCTTACAACATAAATCTAAAGTTTGCGCCTTGAAGATACTCAGCTCAGTGATGCTTTGACTTCCTCTGATCCTCTGAGTTGCACTCGTCTCTTTTTGCTCAGCTGGAGAAGGACTTAACCATCCAGAGATCAGGGTCTTTGGACCACAACCAGCATCCAGGATTGTACTGGATAAGGTATGACACAGAATAGTGCCAATTTTGCAGTGCTTCCATGGCAAAGTGCTGGCAGTCTCCATTTCCCATCTCTCAACGGGCTTGCTCCATTTACTCTCAGCGTAGAAGTTCTTATTACTGCCCCTCCTTCATTTACCATTAGCAGATCCATCACTTTATCAAGCTTCTTCATCTCAGTGTGGCTGTGGCTGTTTCCTCTCGCCTGGTCCTGCAGTTTACCTTAGAATCCATCTGCCTAGAAAAGCGTTTGTATCTGTATTGTCGACTGTACTGCAGGGTTTCACATGATGTGCTGTGAAACAGGATTTTACCCTAAAGATAGAAGCGAACATGTATTTTTATGGGAAGTGTGATCCCAGACATAAAGATGCTGCATTTAAAGGTGGCAGACCAGGCTGTCTTATGTTTTCCCTGATTCAGAGAAATTCACACTCTCTAAAAAATCAGCTAAATGCAACTTTTCAGACGCCAGCCTCTGCTGACACAGGATCTTTTTTTATCAGCTTGTGGTTTAGTAGCTGCTGGTCCTCATCTGTGTTTATCTAGAGAAGCTAATGATAGCTGCTGTGTTACCCTCTCTCAGACCACGGCACTTGATAAAGAGAAGCAAGTTTTCCGACGAAGACGCCACCAGGATGTGAAACCCCCCTCCCACTTCCCTCACAGTGTCCATGCAGGTGCCTCCTCCCACAGTGCCCACCCAGCCTCTGACTTCACCTCTGAGTCTGAGGACATTTCTCCATGTTCAGCCGGCACCGTCCGTTCACCCACCTCCCCGTTCTAATACTTTCACGGGGTCAAAGCATTTTCCTCTGAAAGCTAAGTCTGGAGAAACACGGTTTAATTTATTTTTTGTTTATTTAGACATTCACAGACTACATACTTGACACTTCCTCTTTTTTTGTTAACTTTTATTAGTCAAAGTTTTTTTTTTATTTTGAATTCAAAATGCACTTATCAGAGTAAGGAACAAGTTTGTGTCTCAAACATACACCTGAAGTGTCTGCAAGGGTTTAAGGTGTTGAGTTATTGTAATACTTTAGCGCCCTCTGCTGGTGTAGATAATGTATTACAAAGTCCACCTGCTAAACGAAGCACTTGGCTTTTTGACATGACCAGTGGCGTTCCTAAGCAACTTGGTACCCTAGGCAGGATTTCTGGTAGCCCCCCCCCATGATTTTAAATATGAATAATGTAGTAATTGTACTACAATAAACTAAACAGCCGCCATATACGAAATACCCTGGACAACCGCGATCAACAGTACCCCACAAAATCCTCAAAGGAAAACAAAATGGCTCAAAAGACATAAACAGCAGTAATTTAACATCAGTCAAGGAAAACAAGTGTCAAAAACATAAATTGCAATATTAAAAAGGTAATAGTACAAAATACAATGTTATAGAAAAATACAAACACAACAACTTACAAATAGTAAAGTATGTAAACTAGAAAGAGTGGGGAGGAGTCCTGTCCTGCAATCCATTGGGGACCGTGGCGAAATTGCAGGCAGGTTGCAGGCAGACAGACACTTAAGCCCGAATATATAAATGATTTAGCCATTGTTTAAAGACTTTACGACTTTATGTACTGTTGTTAGATTGCTGTGTTTTTATTGCGAAATAAAAAATATTAAAAAAAAAAAAAAAAAACCTTCTCCCCTCCCTGGCGCCCTTTCTGCGGGCGCCCCTAGCAGCCGCCTACTCCGCCTAATGACAGGAGCGCCACTGGACATGACATGTTTCATGTAACTTTCACGATTTTAAATAGAAACTCTTAAGTGTAACTCTCTCCATACTACAGAGACTCATGGTTGTACTGTATGACATCTTAATTTTGCGACTGTACTTGAAACTCTGGCGCACAAACCTTGGACAAACAGAACTTAAGGAAAGGAAAAGACATGCTGCTATAAAACAAAATAAGCATTATCCAAACAGACAGATATCGTCCTGTCATCTAGTAGCTCACGTCTTAGTTGGGGCACAAGTGTTTGATTGCTGAAGGTTCTGCTCATCTGGAAGCAAAAGTTTCGTTCCATGTCTGTGAGAGTGGTTGTAGTTCAGTAGTGGTAGAGGTGAATGTCAGTGTTGTGTAGTTGATTGTTAAGTGCATGTTTAAAGCCTTGGCTTGGTAAATATGGATTTAAGTGCAATTAGGTGTACAACCCAATGAGCACAGTATTTTGAACTTTTCTTTTGAAATACTGTAAAACGTGAGAATGTATCAGTTGCGAGGTGGTTATTAATAATAGCTTACAAACCCTTCTCTCTTTAACTGAGCTCATAGACTCGTGTGACAGATTTTTTCATACATTAAAAAAAAGACGTTTAAGTTAACGCAGCAGTGCTTCCAGTAAAATCCAATACGAAAACATCTGCAGTTCATTGTTTCTCAACAGTAACGATCAAACAAAATGACTGAGAAGTCTGGCTCACGAGAGTCTATGTACTGTATGTCGTCTGACAACTCCATACATGAGTTCATCATGGAGCGAATCTTCATAGATGTGAATGTCCTCTTCCCACCATCAAAGACTGTAACCTGCATGTGTACTAATATGCATCCTAAATCCGTTGTTCTGGTCTTCTACTATTCGATATACACCTGTCAGATAAAGAAAAAACACATCTCTACTCACTGTGTGTGCTGTCTTGGTGAATGCTGCTCAGTTAAGGCAGATTATAGTCATACCACAGCTAAGTTAGGACATGTATATATTTACATATTTGAAAAGAAATGTAACCTCTCACCACTGACATTTTTGTAAAGGGCTTTTAAGTTTTTTTATCAAGAGGGATGTGAACCAAAAAGCACAAGGACAGAAATTGTGAGAATGACTTTTGGGGAAAGTTTGCTTGTTTATATACAGTTTGATGAAAAGGTGCGAGGAGAAAAGTGGAAATTTCAATGTGATGTGGAGGCAGATGGAAGATGTGAATGCTGTATTATATTCATCCATATTCCATGTAATGCAAAGACATAAAATAATGAGAAAAAAAAGTGATTACAGACGTATTTTCACTTCATAAAAACATGTATTGTTGTGGTTAAAGAGAAAACTTCCAACAATATGCAAAGACATGAAAACTGGGAATAAACGACTTTAATATGGGGGCGAGTGAGTGACTCATATTGAGTATGTGGTTGTTTTTACAGGATTGCCTGCAGCTGACCTACTTCAGACAGTAGGTGGCAGTACCGTCAAGGATAAATTCCTTTTTTAAAGCTCAAGTTCGCCTTCAGTCGCTCATTGTGTGGTGTGTGTATTTACAGAGCTTTGGTCATAAATATTTAACGTGTTGCATTAATAAATGCATGAATGTTTTGGAGGCACTTTACAAATTCTGAGTAAAATCTAAAAGAGAAAAAACTCCTCTGACACTTTGTTTATTTATCCAGTTTTATAAAGAAAATAATGAAAGTAGCTGAATTTACAGTTATTTTTTAATAATCACATTAGCTTAAGACTTATCCCATCAATCCAAAAATGTATGCAAAAACAAGCAATACAACCGACATATATAAACTAAAACATATCTTAAAATATACATTTTTAAAACTTGAATACACAGCGTATTTAAAGAATATCGTTAAAAGAAGAAATTTGCAAACAAATTAAAATTCACAGTAATGAAAATGATTTCACAGTTAAGCAAAGCAAACCCAAAGCCCTCAGTAGCTTACGGCATGCAGCACTTCAGCTTTGGATCGGGTGGCGTCTTCTAGCACCACAGGAAAAATGAAAATGTTTACTCAAAGTCTATTTGCATATTTTTGTTCCTTAAAAATTCAGTTCACAGCCAAAGACCGCTCGTTTTGACAATCAAAAGAAGACACAGAAGCTCTCGTGTCACCAAGAATAAACAGTGGTTATTTTTGTTCGACTTCACGGTTCATCCTCCATCATCTGTCGTCACACAGCTGGAAACTTCTGCATCAACGTTCACAGCAACTACGTTTAATATTGCTTACAAGTGCATGGTGTTCAAGCATGAACCAGTGTCCATGAAGTCACGATCAAAAACGGGTAAGCAAACATCGGTGCAAAAACAGGCAAAGTAACCAAACGCAGAGACTAAGATTTTTGCTCTGCACATAAATTAAATCTTAAAAATGACGTTTTGTCTCACAAAGTGTCTTTTGGCTACACTTCATTAAATACTGTCCATCATTTCTGCTTTTACGCCTCTGGTTATTTACTGAGGAGGAACTAAAGTAACAAAATAAATAAGATGGATAATTCCTCTTTAAAATGTCCCACTTACTTAATTCAAGGATTTCACAGTGAGTTTTTTCTTTGTGAATTAATTAAACTAAAATATCCCCAATTTAAAATAAATATGGAAACACCACTATTTTGCTGACATCATGAGCAGAAACGAAGATTTCACAGAGGTTTAAGATCACACTGAATAAGACGTTTCTTCCATAAAGACAAACAAACACAACAAAGTCACAAACATTTCTTCTTTTCACATACAAACACGTTTGAACACTTCGTAACAATGAGAAAACTGTCCACACACATATTGCTAACAAACTAATATCTGAAGTGCGATGGAGATGTTTTGTACATTTCATACATGGCTCTCACGGTGGGATGTCGGTAACATGGTGGCTAAACTGAAAGCATTTAGATCTTTGTTTGAATGTTTACAAAGGAGAAGCACTTTACACCGTTAATATTTACACATTACTCTTCTTTACTTAGAAAACTGTTCCAACTGAGATATGTTTCTGCCATACAAATGTTGTATAAATGTTCCTTACAGAGAATTCTTTTTGTTTTGGATTTTCACAGTTTGAAACAGGAACTTCTAAGCCTACATTAAGTTCGATTTAATAACTTAAATTCATCTCAGTCTCTTCTTGCATCAGCTGGTGTTCAGGTCAGACATGAAAACCGACGGGAAACGTGTCCATGTTATTCAGCAGTTTGTGACAAGTTTGCTGGACGAACACGTCGGCACACTTTGTTCTTTATTAGCATCACAACGCCGATGATCTCCAACACACCGCGTCTCTATCATGCCCTGCGTGGATCTTCTGCTGCTCAGCTCGGCTGCAGGTCTGCGAGTGTTTCCGTTTATCCAGCACACTCACTCCCTCTGATTCTTCTCTCCTCAGTACCTGTTTTGATGCTCGTAGTGCCACCGGTTAAAATCGATGTTAAAAGCCACGATACTTCCAGACACCATGCCAGTGATTAAAGTCCTGAAAAAGCGACAAAATGTCATGAAACAGATCAGAAATAAGTAAGAAAGGAGAAAAAACTTGACATGAATATGAGCAGTTTGTTAAAATGTCTGCAGAGATAAAAGAAAGGGGTCATCCGGGTGCTAATAGTAAATCATTGGGTTCCTCTGACAACAGAAGAGGAGCATGGAGTCCCAGGCTCCTTCTGCTCTTGCGTCCACAGTCGGCTGGTATGTAGGAAAAGCAGCTGATTTCACAGGGGTCCTCTTGTGCTGCTTCACCCCAAAGGCTTAAAAACCGAAGCACAATGAACAGAGCGGCAGCAAAATGGCTTTTCTGTAAATGAAGCGGTTGAGCAGGGTTCACATGTGTTACTTAATGTTGACTCACCGAAGAAGACTGTATGTGAACCTCGGACCCCTTAAAATATGGGATTAAATTAGTTTGTTAAGTGGAGATTTAAAAAAGTATATTCTCTACATACTTTTAGTTGCTGAAGTGATTTATATATGAAACTCAATCACATCCTCCATCTGACCATCTTGTGCTCACCTTACCAGGTTAAGCGGGTCGTGATGGTACAGAGTTTAGACACCAAGTTCTGTAGGGGGTTTGGCCTGTGGCGGTGAAGTGCAGCCTGAAAGATCAGACTCTCTGACTGCCGTGGTCACATGATGACGTCAGGCTTATCGCCCCAGAGCCAACAATGTCGCCTGTGCGCCGCTGGCCACACACAAATTACGACATCTGACGAATCATGCAGAGTAGAAACTTTCTGACCTGCAACATGATGTTTTCTAGTTTGTATATGTGCACAACCCCCACCCCTCCTCAAAAAACACAAATTAAAAAGCAGCACACAGTATATCCCACTTTTGGTTTTTTAAAATAATCGCTATGGCAACTGTAGAATCTATTTCGAGAGACAGGAAGGCAGATGAACCATAAACTGAAATACAATGCAACAACCGTGACACATAGACCAACACAAGACCGCTGCACAGAACAATACTACTCTGAATGCAACATTTACATTTGCATGCAACATATACAGTGAGTCACAAGGCGAGCCCACACATGAATGCAGACACTGTTAACACAGAAACCCACACAGTGAATTTAAAAAGCTAGTCTGAGTTTAACCAACACTGTCTCCATTTGGATACGACGCCTACAAGCTCCGTTTTTATTTTCTTCTATTTTAATTTCTGTATTTACTTCATATTTGGTAAAAATAACTGAGAGGAACCGGTGATCTAGTGTTTATTTACTGTATCTGTATATGGGAAGTGTGAGACAGTTTACTAAAGTGTCTTTTACACTCGATTGCGTCAATGTAGGGATCTGTTCTGACCTCTGATCGTGTGATAGGTCCATGGCTCGGACGCCAGCATCACAGCCCGGGTAGATGTAGAGCCGTTTGAAGTCACAGGCCTGCCACACCTCCACTACCCCGTTATCGCCTCCCGTGACCAGGTTGTGGCCGTCACTGCTCAGGAGAATTGCCTGCGGGGGGGAAAGAAGAAGAAGGTTCAAAATGGCACTGCAATTTTAATAGCACCGTCTTATCAAGTTTTCTGGCTGCAGTATGTAAAAGACGTACAAAAAACCATCAGCGTCATGTATGTTTGTGGAGTTATAGTTTGAGAATGGCACAATAACACAATTAAATGTGTTATTCCTTTAATATTACCACAATGTCCTACTATTATTTCATACATCTGTGTGTGTTTTAGATCATCAGATTCAGCTACAACGCTCACATGTCAGACTGGAGTCAAACTGTCATCTTACCCTGGTGGAATCATTGACCTCCATCTGTGCCAGCAGCTTCCCATTAATGCTGAAGTTGCAGAAGCGGCCCCTCTCATAGTTGATGATACAGTGGCCCTCGCTGGACACTGTGATGAGTCGTGGGCACTGAAAGTGGTCTGGTCCCTCTAGAGCTCGTAGCAAGTCCCCTGTGATGGTGTGGACCAGACATGGACCCTCTGCCAAACAAAAATAATATTGGACACACCTGCAGGTTTAGAGCCTATTAGAGGACTATCTCCGCTGTATGCATGATAATACTCTAGAGTACAACATTTTTGATTACACTGACATTCGATGGAGCAGACTGACCTTTGGCTCCACTGATGACGAGGCCCAGTTCTGCACAGACCGCCACACACACAACTTCTTGGTCATGACCCGTCAGAACTGCCCGTGGTGCAGGGTAGTCACCTAGAGGACAACACGGACACAGCAGAATGAATAAAGAAAAAAACAGCTATCTTTATCGAGTATCAGCCAGAAATGGACGTCTACTCGTTAAATGGGATTTCTGCGTCACCATCACACCTTGATGAGGCACTAAAATCATACAAACACGAACACGGTGAGCGTGACAAACATCTGCTAGCAGGGAGGTCCCTTTGAATTGTCATGTTAATGTAGGGATGCCCAATGATGGCGGCGCAGCCACTTGATTTCATTCTGTGTGTCACATGATTGATGATGACCAGGGGGAGAGGTTAGTGAGGGGAGTTTCGTGGCACCTGGAGCTGACCTCGAGCACCGCCGCGGTGTGGGAGGAGAAGTATGACAGAGGCACACAGATATTTACTGAACAATCGCTCCTCCAGATAGTTTATGTAAATCCATTATTTAATGACTTTTAATTTGTATTAAACCGACAAGAAAATGCAGATAAAATAAAGACTTTGTCACCACAATGATGATTATTTAAAAATATGATTTCATTGTTTATTTCAAATAGATTCATGTATAATTTCCAGTAATTTTCTGTAAAATAAGCCGACTTCAATCTGTCTCAGCCCTGATTTTCACCTAAAGATGGAAAATCCTGCCTAACTTCTACCACTGAATAATACAGTAAGTAGCTGAAAATGTGAGTCCACATGAGCCTCAAAAGTTCAGCCAATTCA